TCGTGATTCCCCTCCCCCTTCTGTGCCTCCTGCGGCGCCAGCGACTCACCATCGTGATTCCCCTCCCCCAGTGCCGGCGACTCACCATCGTGATTCCCCTTCTGTGCCTCCTGCGGCACCAGCGACTCACCCAAGTTCATTACCGCCTGCTGAGACTCCTCCGCGGGCCACCACAGCTGCACCAAGTAGCCAGCTACCTGCTGACAACGAGCCCATGGAGAATTTGCAGCCTCTAGATGATATCGTCAATAACCAAGTGCGCCGTAGCAGCCGAGTTCATGTTCCATCCACTCGCACAACAGAAGCTAATAATATTGGTGCTGACGGTATGGGAAGAAAGCCACGAAAGTAAGTTTAACAATTTTTTTCACTTCCGTTTTGAACTTTAGTTCTAGGTCACGCAAATTGGTTCACTGAGGATGTTGTGTTCTTGCCATAATGTTTGCTGTATATCGTATATTGTTCTTGTCGTATTACATGTATTCACCGTCTTTACTCAAAATACACTATTTTTTGACACAATGATCTTCGTCGAACACAGGAAAATTGAGCGTCTCGTTAGCAAACCCCAATCATGTCTCATGTCAATTTTTTCAATACCATGTAGTCAACATTTCAGCATCGTGTCACAAGCTTAGGTACCGCAGTAAACAGTTTATATGTCTCATACTTATTATGCAGGGACTTAGTCGAAATTCATCGTGAACTCGTCACGTGGCTTGCAGGGACTTAGTCAGAATTCATCGTAATTTGTCACGTGGCTTGCAGGGACTTAGTCAAAATTCATCGTGAACTTGTGACGTGGCTTGCAGGGACTTAGTCAAATTCATCGTGAACTTGTCACGTGGCTTGAAGGGACGGTCAAAAATTCATCACGAAGTTGTCATGTGGCTCTGAGGGGCTGGGCCAGGATCTGTCAGGAACAAGTTGGCAAGAACCGGTAAGAACGGAAGGGTCCGGAAGGGTGCGAGATTTAAGGGGGTGGAGATTATAGGCTGGAACTGATGTATTAATATAGCCAGCAAGAACCAAGAAGGAGGGGTGACATATTTATAGGTGGAGAAGCAGTACGAATCGAGGGAAACTGATGCAGACAACCTATTTTTAGTCGAGGGATTAATATAGCCAGCAAGAATAGATGGGAGTACCCAAATTGGGAATGAGGATCAGCCAGAGAAGTTCAACATTGTGTCCGAGTGCTAGTATCAATACAAAGAAGCCTGTATGCATACTTTGCTGGGACTGAGAGTCCTAGGCCAGTATGCATACATAGTCTTCTACAGTGCCCAGACTTGTATTAATCAATCTTACACTATGGCCTCCTGTATTACGGTGATATTACGTCGCGACGTCGTTCCAGTCTCTAATGCTGATCGTCTGTGTTCTGAATAGGCATGCAACAGGCCCAGACCATGAAACGAGCGCGCCAGCCAGAATCTATGGTGATCTGAGGACGCGAGATTGTTCCCGTGGCTTCAGTGGTACCAGCAACTACTGAAAGTGTCGTTGCAATGGCAGTGGGAGGTAGTTGCTGTGACGATGATGGTATGTTCTGTGCTCCGCTGGGTGGCTGGGTGTTATGAGTGATAGGTCGAGACGAGCTAGTACGTGGCTTCTTTCTAGCATGATAGTTCCTCTGCGCGAAAAGGAATCAATGATAAAGAAGAACCGAAAAAGGCGAAAAAGCGTACGGGCTTGCCTGCCGTACACGGAACCTCGACTATAGGTGGTTCTCGCAATTCGATGTCCGATCTATGTCGTCTGAGCAGTATGCCAGAGGCTAGGTTTCGGGTCCAGCTGAGAGGGCGGGATCGAGGCTGAGTATCGGGCCCAGTTACCTTGTGTAGCTTGAAGCGGCGCCAAAAGGAGGAAAAGCGACTGAGGGTGCGTTGACGTGGTGCCAGGGTGCGTGGATTATCAAAAAATCCTGGGGGTATCCGACGAGCACCCGAAGCTGGTCGCTGTGTAGCATCAGGCTAGGAAAGCAGATCCACTGTCAGTGTGATTGAGGATGAAATTGATTCAAGCTTACATTGTATGACAGAAGATCAGCTTTTTTTACGATAGCAGAAACATCCCATGTGTATATGTCGCCGCCGTTGCAGCCAGTAACGAGCAACTTCCCATCTGCAGAGAAGGTCGCCCAATTCACTGGGTCTTCATGGTGGAAAAGTGGTTCAATGGACTGATTGGTTTTGAGATTCCATAGTTGCGCTGTCTTGTTCAAGTGTGACGTGCCGGCGAGGATGCATCCATTAGGAGATAGTGAAATGGCATTGATCCAGCTCATGGGTCCCTCGAAAGCTGTTTCAGTCCAGGTGGTTGTGTCGAATGTCCTGATCGAGCTGACTCCCCCGGTGATAAGCGTTTTTGCATCCGAGGTCCACGCCAGACACGAAAAAAATCCTGGGAGTGTTTTGAGCAATTGACCTGTGTTGGCATCCCAGACTTTCAGGCCATCCCCGCCCGTGGCAAGCGTTTTGGCGTCGGGTGAGTAGCAAACCGCCCACATCATTCCTCCTGTCTCGATTGGTCCGAGGATTGTCCTGCAACTCTCAACATCCCACACTCTGAATGTTCCATCATCAGATCTGGTCACCACCCGCCTTCCGTCTGGACTCCAGCACACAGATGGCACTCGATTTGTGTGCCCCATCCATGTTTTGATCACCCTGCCCATGTCGATGTTCCACAAACTCACTGCGCCATCCCAACTCCCGCTTGCTACTGTCTTGCCATCCGGCGACAATGCTATGGCAAGTACTCGTGTGACTTTGTCCTTCCATTCCTCTCCAACCTGCGTACCCCTTTCCAGGTCCCAAACTCGAATGGAGCCATCCGATGACCACGTAATGATCCGTTGTCCACCGGGCAGGTGTAGGGCGTGTTTGATGCTACCGTTCAATTGCATTGGTTTGATACCACATGTCTTGATCTTTTGGTAAGGCATTGTCGCTGGAGTCTCTCGCTTCGCAGGGGCTGGGTACGGTACATTTTTTATTTCGGGTCTCGCCTAATGGATGCAGTATATTTTCAGCTCTTAACATCAAGCGCCGCATGAATCCATCACTTACATGATCAGAATCCAGATGTGCACCGAAGAGACGCAAACCTGCGACGGAGAAGGCATTTTGTTCCATCCAGAGTCGAGTTGGGAGGGAGGTCGTTGGTCAAGTCATCTACAGGTCCTTGCTTCATCCTCGTGTTCGCTTCACAGCTTGAACACTGGCTGTGCAGATTAAGCGCCCAACTCTCTTTTCTGACAATATATCCACTTTCCTTATTTGGGTTAATCCCTATCTCGGTCACTAGTCTTCGTTCAATCCGTCATCGATATCTTCTGTCTCTTCCAGATTTACTGCATCCCCATACTCAGCGGAATGTGAATGTGTCTGTGCGCGAGACCGAAAAAATCCTTATGCTGGCCAATCCTCACAGCATGCGCTTCCACGAGGCTAAGTGAGACCAATCAGATAGTTTTTCCCCATCACCAGTAACATATTATATACTGAAATGACCATCGCCTCATCTGCTGGGACGCCATCATCGTGCGTTTTGCACAGGATTTTTTGGGAAGTCATACGGACTCATACCCGTGTCTCTCGCACAACATCACGACGTTAGTGTTCCTCCAAGTCGGAATAAAAACGGTCTGTGCGATTCATGCTGGTTAGCGAAGTCAATTAGTTGGAATTTACATTGTCTCGAGTTTGGATCACAACACTGCGCCAACTTGATTAGACCTATCAACAATGACAACACGAATATTTAAGGACACAAGACTTGAGTGCCGAGTTCCTAGCGCAATGAAAGTAGCATAGCTATCTCGCATGAAGCGTGCTGCAGGGTATAGACAGAGCAATCATCAAGACTTTGCCAAGAAGAGGGAGCGGAAGAAGGAATGGAAGAAGGCCACGGAGAACTAGATGAGAAGACAGAAAACGTCAAGGAAGCAAAAGAACAACGAAGTTTCTTCCCTAATGTCGATCGGCTGTGTACTCAACAGATGCACAGGTAACCCAGAGGAACAAATGTGTCCACCATCTGGCATGTCTTACGGTGATGTCAGGACGCGACATTGTTCCCGTTGCCCCAGCGGTACCAGGGACAGCAGAAAATGTCGAGGCAGCGAATGCGATAAGGGCATGTGGTTGCTGCAATGATGGCGGTGTGTTCTGTGTCGTTGCACTGGATTGCTGCGTGGTATGCATACATATCGGAAGGTCGAGGCAAGCTCGTAGCTGGCTTCTTTCTCGCGTGATAGTTCCTCTGCAAGAGGAATCAGACAGAAGAATAGAGAAAGGAAGAAAAAAAAACATACAGGTTTTCCCGCTGTGTGGAACCTCGAATACTGGTGGTTCTCGCAACTCGTCGTCTGATCCTTAAGACGAGTCAGTGCTCTGGGAATTGGGAACCTTTGAGAACGGAAGAAAGTAGAATGGATCATTGGGTACCAAGTCTAGTCTCAGCTTGCTGTTTCCTCTTGGGAGATTCGCCAATTACATTCAAGTTGTTACTGGAGTCAGAAAGGTAAGCTGAACTTGAACATTTCTGTTCTGTGCTTAGACATCGACTTGATTGACGCCGCGTGATTGCTCAAGCGCTCCGAGTCAGAGGCTCACAGTCAAGCTGTACAGTAATTACATAACAATTGACATATGATCACATACGTAATTTTCCACATCCCATTTTAGGTAGCAGAGCACCATCATGATGGCCAGTGCTTCACTGGAGGGCACGAAAGGGGTGACTGCTTCAAGCAAATGTGCTAAAGTGAAGAGACGGCCCAGGGCGGCCTGTGGAAGTCCCACTGTTCTCGGAGTCTCCCGCCGCTGTTTTGATTTTATATTGTTCATCTGATTAGTACATACATGGTCACGATTGTGGATGCACCTTGAGTGCCACAGCGGAGTCCACATTCCGTGTGGGGGGTATTTATTCTCTTTACACCTCTTTCCATCTTTCCCTCCACTTGTATCTACCTTGTACTACTCATTGACATGGAGAACATCATCCCTCCTGCCCTCGATAGTCAGCGGATGCCCGAGCAATATCCTGTGGGCAACCCAGCTAAACAACAGGCTCGCGTGCCCGAGCAATACCCTGCGGGCAACCCGGCTGAAGAACAGTGCATGCCCGAGCAATATCCTGCGGGCAAACCGGGCGAGCCTTCTGGCCCTCAAAGGGCGTTAGTTCGAACATATGCCCAATACTTAGACTCTGTGGGCAAACCGGGCGAGCCTTCTGGTCCTCAAAGGGGGTTAGTTCGAACATATGCCCAATACTTAGACTTTGCAGGCAAACCGGATGAGCCTTCTGGCCCCAGTGTCATGAATATGGAATTGATTTATGTACTTTATATCGCATCTGGTGCAAAGAACACCATTATTGCCCGTCGTACATATATGGTTGTCCTTTAACGTTTCATATTTGAAATATCCCATGCCTTCCTCCCCCCAGTCTCAGTTGACGAACAATACACCATCCTTGGCCGCTGGACCACTGATCCTTGAAGCTTGAAGTCTGGGGCTCTTAGCCTCCGCCTGCAAATTCACAGTATTCTCCATCCCCGTCTTCAAATTCTCTCTCATTTGTAACACTCGCCTTGGGATGTCGTTCCTCATCGATGACACTCTTCATTATCTATCTAATGGATTCGTTCCAACTTCACCAAAGCACGCCCAGATAATTCCTATCATAAAGCTGATTTCGTGATTCAAACCTGTGTCTAGCACGGACGCAGCTCGAAAGGTTGGACGCGCGATCGCTTCTTGGACCTACACCAAGTGGCACTCTAACCAGGACCCCCGAAAACCAAATTTTCAACATAGCGCTCAACAGCGCTAACAACGCCATCAGGCGTTAAAGTATTCTCCTTAAAAACACATAAAACTCACAAAAAAGACATATAGATACCAAAAACCCCACATGCCGGTAACAAAAGGAACAAAGAACGGACCTGGCTCGAATGTCCCATCTAATACCTCTCCTACAGTAGGCACCGCCACCAGACAATCGGGCAGAACCACATTATCGCAAGAAGACATCGAAGCCATCCCAAACGCAGTAAACGGATATGAAACAGCAGAGAAGTTCCTCGATAAAAACCTTCTCAGTCTCCCCAATGAACCATACACACTAACGCACGTGATCTCCATATTATTCCAGATAACACAAATGCACGACACCATCCCCCTCCCAGTCAACGCGGCGATACGCGCAACAGCATTCATACTCAAGAAACTCGCAGCATGTGAAATGGCCACCGAAGTAGCAAAACAACTAACAGACACACTCACCCCACGCATAATAGAACACGTGGTAGGAGCCATTGCGCCGCAAATGGCAAAGCTTCTATCTACCTCCGATCAACTATCAGACACGTTGGATAGAACAGAAGCAATCCGCAAGGCATTAGCAAATGATAGAGACGAAATGAACGACGGCCTGCAAATCTCAGCCACGAGGATAGAAACAGCAGCCGAAGAACTACACGCATCAATCGACAACTGCCAAAACACCCTAAAACTCCTCTCCCCATCCCTTGATACCACCCAAGACAGAATTAACACCCTATCAACCCAGATTATGACCCAAACCATGATCGCCCACCCAGACACACACCCCGTAGAGACCAACCAGAATCAACGCCAAACATACAGTTCCATCGTAGCCGCTAACCTCACCCCCTCAATTGATAAAGCTATTGGACGAGCGGCTATACGAGCTCGACAAATACTGTTAGACCCCATGCCAGGAGATGACCTATTCCCGCCGAACACCTCACACGCAGACATCGTGAAAAAGATGAAAGAAGCACTGGCCAATATCCGCGAACATAATACCCCAGTAGGAGACATCAAATCAATAATGACTCTTCACAACGGAGGACTCATCATCGAACTCGAATCAGAAACACTGGCGGAGTGGCTAAGAAAGCCAACAAGTAAGGAAGCCCTCAAAGGACAATTTGAAACCGCAGTATCGTTCCGCACTCGTACATTCCCTATAGTAGCTGAATATCTCTCCATACAGCTTCCGATCTTCGACGACACATTCCTTAGAACAGTAGAACATGAAAACGGCCTCCTAATCAACTCAATAGCCTCCATCCGCTGGATAAAGCCACCTCAACGTAGATCACCAAACCAAACCAAAGCATTCGCCCTAATCCATATCGCGGACCCTCACACAGCGAACAATATCCTCAAGGACGGTATTTGCATCAACAATGAACGCATCGCAGTTCGGAAGGACAAGCGCGAGCCCATCCGATGTGCAAAATGTCAAAAGTATGGACATATCGCACGGTCGTGCTCCTCAACAAACGACGTATGCGGCACATGCAGCAACCATCACCGTACCTCGGAATGCACCTCCCCTCAATCTACTGTTTGCACTAATTGTCAAAGCCATCACCACGCCAGTTGGAACCGATCATGCCCCGAATTCATTAGAAGATGTGACCTTATTAACGAAAAGTTTCCAGAAAACTCAATGCCGTACTTTCCCACAGAGCTGACGTGGACGCACGCCAATCAACCTCATCGTCCAACCCAGGTATCATACCCTCCGCCGCAACATACACAATCACCCCGTCAACGCAGCTCAAAACAAACGACCATCACGTTGTACCAAACATTCCGGCGCCAGCCTCACAATCACCAGTTATGCACGATCCGAAGCTCACCTAGTCAGGTATTCACGTCCATGTTCATCCGG